CCCTCTCCAAAAATATATACACTCTGCTAACACCATAATGCAATACCCCAATCATTTTAGAAACCTAAGAAACCATATTTTAAGAAACTCTAACAATTTTCAAAAAACTTTTAAAGCCGTATCCCTCACGCCAGCCGCCTTTATTTGGAAATTGGTCCCTTATTTATGACCGACTGACCAAGAAAGTGGCTTCTTTTCTTTAGTAGAAGGGGAGAAAGCTTACCAATAAATAGGAAATGGGTTTCTTCTACGTCTTAGAGACGAAAGAGAAGAAAATGGATTTATCGTTCAATGTTGCAATATACGTATTTAATATTGACAACGTTTTAAAATGCGGCCGCATCAGGCGCTATGCATTGAGCACCGCATCAAAATTGACCATATATGCGGTTTGGAGAGATGCGCTCATATATTCACCGCATCTCTCTGCATCAAAGCCGCATAGCACATAAAACGCATCATGCTGCATAATTCCGCAAATATTTTTCAAAACAATACCCCTCGGGGATGGGTAAAATGGTCTTTTTGACCTCTGAAATTTAAATTTGGGGAAAAGGGTTTGGGGGGGTATTAAACCCCCCAAACAAAAATTTTCAGCCACATTCATGGCTTTTTTGTGATTGATTGGATCAAAAGAAAATTTTGGGCGAAAATTTTCTTCGTAGAAGTTCTTGGATTTGCGCATTTGTTGATACTTGGTTCTTGATTTGTAACTTTTGGGTTTGATTTGAGGAAGTTTGAGGCGAACTTGTGACGACAAATCGAGGGTTTTAAGAGCCGTGAAGAAATCGATACTTGCTTCAAGTAACTGGTAACTTTTTTTTCATTCTACAGTAATACTTTTTTTGAGGCAATGTCTTCTTCTCAATCTTCTAATAATAAGGATCTGGCTTGGAAATATGCCAAACTTAAATATCGGAAAGATCCAAATTGTGTGATTTATATGCTTTGTAGAAATACTTATATGGTGACATTTTTCAGCAAAAAGAACACTTCGGCAAAAAGAGATAAAAAGGGAGATTAGAGAATATATGGATAGCTTGCAAAAAGAAAAAGAGAAGAAAA